CTTCCGCCGCAGGTTGACCGCCATTTAGATCTGCTTTGGATGCAAGCAGAGTTATTTTACACTGTGGGAGACGGCGAAGTTTCAATTGGGGTGTTCTCACATACAAATGGTCCCTGGTCCCTCACGATTCGGCCAGTGCTCGCCAGGCCTCCGGCTTCCTTCCTGTGCTCACCCCCGCCTGGTCGTCATGCCATGGAGGTTCTTGTCAGCAACCTCGGGTCCACAGCTCCAGCCCCCGAACTCCGCCAGGCTCCCAACCACGGCACCGACTCCTTCGAGCTAGTGTCCCTGGGCCGCTCTCCATCCGCTCTTCATCCGTGTGGTTCGTCGGTATGCGTTAGTTTATCGCAGACGCAGTCACTTCCCTGTCGTGTTCAGGACACTCTGGTGGCTGCTCGGGGACTTCAGGGAAAAATCGAGACTCTCTCTGGCATCCAAAGGCATATGCTCTCTGCTTCCTGTCTGTAGGGCTGCTGGACTAACACGCTTTATGGTTTACGGTTCATTGGGGTTTACTGGGAAGGAGGCGGGGGCAGAGTTTCTTTTTTTTTTTTTTCCCTCCAAGTCAGAGTCTCACTCTGTTGTCTGGACTAGAGTGCTGTTGGTGTCAGCCTCGCCACAGAACTCCAACTCCTGGGCTCAAGCGATCTCCTCTCAGCCTCCTGAGTAGCTGGATACGGCATGCGCCACACGCACCGGCTGAATTTTTTCCTATATACTTTTTAAGTTGTCCAAGTTAATTCTTCCTATTTTGTAATACGGGGTCTCGCTCTTGCTCAGGCTGTTGTCGAAACTCCTGACTTGAGCGATCCTCCTGCCTTCACCTCCAGAGTTGTAGGGTTACGGCGTGAGCACAGCGCCCAAGCCTCGGTTTTTAACTCATGGAACACTAAACACAAAAAAAATCGTGATGATTTCTGAATGTATCAGCGCCAAGGTAAAAGATTAGTTGTGACTGCGCTCCGTCGTCTGATGGATTCCGCTTGGTGAACAGTGATTATCGGAGCCGCCTCCACGTCAACACGAAACCAGAGACCCATTGACCATAAGCTGTTCTCGCAACGTGGCACGCGGCGCAGGGTGAGCGGACGCGAGTGACGGAAGGTGCGGGTGGCTGATAACGCAAGAGCCCCCACACGGCCGCGATGATTGTCTAGCTTGTCTAGCATATAGGCTAGCTAGTTCTAGCTTCTTCATCGAGTCTTATCGATTCTTTGTCTTTTGCCTCCCTTTGCTCAACGGGCGCGGCTGCAAGCACCGCGTCAAGCCTCTGGAGGGCAGAACGTCATCAGTTTGCCTTAAACGGCCTGGATGGAACGCAAGCGAGCAGGAGCAGCAGTCAAGGTAGCGGAAACGCGGCGGCCTCAGCGGACCTGGGCCCGGTTTCCTGGCAGCAGATACGGTTTCACAGCCAAACCCGATCTCTCCCGGTCACACATTATGCTGTGGAATTTTTAAAAAAATCCTCTGAGTGGAGGTTGACTGTGTTTCTGGTTAGAAAAAATGTGGTGAGAGGGACGGCAGGCGAGAAGCCAGGACGGAGGGCGCGGGGGAATGGGAAAACACAAAATTTTTATCGGCTTTCACCTGCCTCGGGCGCGCAAGAGCCTTCAGACCGTGTCAGCTCCTCGGCAGCGTGGCGTATCAACTCACAGCGGCTCTGGAAGTGAGAGTGGGCTCGTTTCGGTCGGAAGGTGAGCAATTAAATAACAAGTTAGCAAGCGTCTCCTGGCCAGGCGGTTGCAGACTTTGATGGATTCCCGAGATGTTTTGGGTCCACGAGTCCCATCTATTAAACTCCCAGGTTGGCTGCTAGGACATGGACCTGCAGTGGGGCACCGTTAGAGGGTACTTTACCAGTTTGACGGCGCCCACGCCGCATCCCCAGCCGGCACCACATCTGCACGGCGTCTGTGTGTGGTTGACACGCGTCCGTTCTTGCTCTCGTGTGACGATGGAAAGCTTGAGAGCCATGGAAGTTGTTTATTTACAGCGCTTTATGTGCAAGACGTAACTCAGAACAGGTAACGTAAACATGTATGTTTTCATGACATTATTTTTAAATCGTTCACAATTTTTTTGTAAATAAAATTAGAAGTCACATCACGGCTGTCGCTAAAGTAGACGGGGCGTTCGTCTGTGGCGTCGACTACAGTCGACGCTGGCTGTGATTTAATCTGTGGTGTCGACTACATGTCAACACTGGGCTGTGCATGTTCATCTGTGGCTGTCGACTCAGTCAACACTGGGCGTGCATGGTCATCTGTGCTGTCGACTACAGGTCGTCTGGGCCATGTGGCCTGGTGACCGTGCTGGCGTGACATTCACTGTGGCTTCGACTACAGTCAAGTGCGTGGCTGTGCATTCATCTGTGGCTGTCGACTACAGTCAATGCTGGGCTGTGCACATTCATCTGTGGCTGTCGACTCAGTCCAAGTGCTCCATCATTGGCTGTAGACTAGTGCGTGCAATTCATCTGTGGGCTGTCGACTACATGTCATGCTGGCTGTGCGGCGTTTGTCTGTGGCTGTCACTACAGTCAACACTGGTACAAAGTGGTTAAAAACTGTGGTAAAGCACATATAACCTACTAAATGTACTTTCGACCCATTTACATGCACACTGTTTAGTAGCATTAATTATATTACTGGTGTGCGGGCGACACCACCACTGCCGGAACTTTCCGTCCCCCACGACCAGACTCTGCCCCATGAATGCCACCGCTCTCTGTCCGCCGGCTCCCTCCGCCCTGACACGATCTCTGCTTTCTGTCCCTCCTGGTACCTGGATGTGTTCTGCAAAACGAGACCGACGGCACGTGGCCGCTCTAACCTCTGCGAAGCGGCTTGAGATTTCGCGCAGGCCTGCCTGGCGGAGCCTGAGCTGGGGCGGCAGGGCAGCTGGTGGGCGCAGGCTGGGTTGTCCCAGGGGCAGGCGTCGGGACCAGGGTGAGCGTGTAAACGGGTCGTTTGGGACGGGATCCCGCAAGAGCAGCAGATCGGAGAAGAGAGCAGGGAGGGAGGGAAGGAGGGCCCTGGGCAGGTGGCCCTGTGGGCTCAGGGTCAGTCCTGCCGGGAGGTGGGAAGGGCACACCGTGGAGCTTTCTACCAAGGATGAGAGATCTGGGGCGCTTGTCCCCCCATTGCCACCCAGAGCTGGCAAGGGCTGCTGCTGGGCTGCCCCTCCCCCGCCCTGCAGGCCGAGCCTGGACACAGGAAGCCACGAGCCGGGGGGCTGGGACGGCAGCTGCTGAGAGGTGTGGGTGTGGCACCAATGGGCTCTCTTTTTTTGAGACAGAGTCTCACTGTGTCGCCCAGGCTAGAGTGAGTGCCGTGACATCAGCCTCGCTCACAGCAACCTCAGACTCCTGGGCTCAAGCGATCCTCCTGCCTCAGCCTCCCGAATAGCTGGGACTACAGGCATGCGCCACCATGCTCGGCTAATTTTTTCTATATATATCAGTTGGCCAATTAATTTCTTTCTATTTATAGTAGAGACGGGGTCTCGCTCTTGCTCAGGCTGGTTTCGAACTCCTGACCTCAAGTGATCCTCCCGCCTCGGCCTCCCAGAGTGCCAGGATGACAGGCGTGAGCCGAGCGCCCGGCCAGCCTGTGGTTTATTTCTGAAGCCTTCTCGAATGCTGCTTTGGCAAAAGAAAAAAACGGAAAAAAAACGAGCCTGGTGTGCTGTGCGCATAGCGGAGCCCCAGCCCCGCGGGAGTCCGATATCAACCACATCTGCTGGTTCTAGCAAAGTCTCCAGCCCTCCCGGGAGGCCACAGTGGGGAAAGGAAGCGTGCAGCCTGGGCGGCCGTCTGCGCCGTCCACGACCCGGCCGGGGTCACCTCGAATGTCACGGAAGGCACCCTCGCCCTCCCGGAAGCACAGAGGGGCCTTTCACAGAGACCCTCGTCTGCCGTTTGAGACCCGACCCTGCCGCCGCTCGTTACTGCTTTTCCGAGAGTGTCTGTGAGCCGTGGCTTCCCTGGTGAGCCACCCACGGCCCCGACACCACGCCCGGCCGCGGGGACAGCCGCCGGGGACGCGCCCGTCCGGGCGTCTGGGGGATGATTCATGACTTGCGTTTGGGCAGCCTGGTGATATTTCATTAATCCAAATGTCAGGCAATCTAGTGCTAATGTGTTTGCGGTAGGGCTCAACGTTTTCAGTTTTTTTTTTTTTTTAAATAAGCATTTTAGATGCTGACTTTGGCTTTCTGTTTGAAAGATAATATTTAGAGGATACTGTTGGGGATGATACTAATACCTGTATTAATATTAGGGGATAACATTGAATAATTTATTTTGCTTTTTCTTTTTTTTTCTCGGTTCATTTGTAAACCGAGATTGCAGCTTTAATCTAGGCACGTGTGGGGAATTCCAAGCAGATCGCATCGCACAGAGACGGGGACTCTGATTCTTGATTTGTGTCTGGGGAAAATGAGTGTTTCAGATGGCATATTCACAGGGAATCGAGGAGTAGGGTTCTGATTGTTTGTTTTTCACATTTTGAAAGCACCTCCTGCACGCCTCGATTTGCAAAGTGCTTTCGGAAATGCTGTCTCCTTCGACGTCATCTTCAGAACATTTCTGCTCAGTAGATATGATCATCTCCGTTTTATGGATGGGAACATCGAGCTTATGCGACTCATCTGCATCTCACAGGTACCGTGTTTCCCCGAAAATAAGACTTGCCCATAAAATAAGCCCTGGCCGGATTTCTAAGCGTTTGTGCAATACAAGCCCCACCCCGAAAATCAGCCCTAGTGGCGGGCGTGGCTGCGCAGCGCGTCTGCACAACCCGTGCGTGTCGTAGCGGAGCGGGAACGAACACGAGCAGCCCTTCCCATCCGCCCCGTCGTGACAGCTGCTGTCCCAGAGGTGACCGGAAAGGTGCGGGCAGCCCCACCAGCAAGGGCGGCTCCCCCTGTCGGGTCCCGGCCGTCCTGTGTGTGCTGCGAGCTGAGGCTTTGAGGGGAAGATAGCACACCCCCTGAACATAAGCCCCAGGGTGTCTTCTTGAGGGAAAACAAATATAAGACCCTGTCTTATTTTGGGGGAAACACGGCAATAAGTTTCAAAAAACGGGTTTTAAACTCAATTCTCTGGCAGCTCCGCCTTTCCCTGCCTCGGACTGGGATGTTATTTCATTAATTTCTTTACCCATCGCCGTGATCAGCAAATACCCATCTCCTGCAGTTTCAGGCGTGAGCAAAATGTTAGGAGCACCGAGGCAACAACCGGTGTTTGTCCCTGAGGAGTTCCCGGTCGGATGGGGGCCTCGGGCGGGCCGTTGAGAACGTCAACTCAATATGCCAAGGCGCGAGACGATATTTTTAGAATAAGATTGTAATTCTGTACTCGTCCGTGGAGCGCTCGTACGATCCCCGTGCTGTGAGGAACGCCAGAGTTGTAAAGGAGAAGGATGTCAGGCTGGTGGCGGTCCCCCCGCCCCTCTCTAGAGTAAAAAGAGAACAGGCTCCCTGACCAGACCCCCCACAAACGACCGCCAGGCACCACCAGCCCCTCCCGTTTCTCAGGAACAGACAAAGACCACAGTGGGGAAAAAAAAAAAAAAACCCAGCCCTTCCTGCCAAAAGTCCCTAACCCTCCTCAACAGTATAAAAGCTCACACCCCATACAAGCGGCTGTGACTTCTGAGGCCCCATTCTCCTGAGACCCCTGAACCTCACCCGGGAGCGCTCAACGACGCCACGTTGTTTGGCCCCACTCTCTCTCCCTCTCTCTGCCTGTTTCTTTCACCGCCGGAAAACCTTACAAAGGAGGCGTAGACCCCCCTGCTGGTGCCGCAGTCAGCCTGGTCAGGGACACGGAGGAGCGTTCCACCTCACCCTGCAAACTCAGGTGTGCGGGGAAGCACACCTGTGAGTCCACGACTCAGCTCAGTTCTGTCTCAGCTCACGTCACGCAAGAACGGAGGGACTGTGGCTCCCGTCAAGGGTGGCGAAGCTTCTTGCGCTTGCGTAGGTGCTGGGGGTGGAGGAGGCTCCCGACCCTGGACCCACCCAGGTAACAGAAAAAGCGTCTTTCCTTCCTGCCCACCTGGCCCCCCTTCCACGCTGCCTCCGTGTCACCTGTGGGGGGCTGGAAGCCTTCCTTCTTCTCTCCCTGGGCCACAGGTGGGAGGAGAGGTGGGTTCTGAGCCCACCTGAATACCTATGGAAGGTGGTTCATAGCTGCCTCCTTCACCCTTGACTCGCGGACCAAGGCTGTGCCCCCCAGAAAGGTGCCCGTCCCTTGGCCTGGGCTTTGACGTCGCCTGGCTGTCGTTTTCTCACGGGCTACCTGCTGTTTCTACCTTATTGATAGCAAATCCCAGGACACAGCTCCCAGGTAAGTAGAAAAGGAAGTGGCACATGGCATCCCAGGTACAATTCCTGAAAGTCCCAGAACCCTCAGGAACAGCAGTTTCAAATGCTCACAGTCCTCACCATCAGAGAGACAAACCCAGGACCGAAGTCTCACTAGAATTCCGGCAGGTAGAACCCATCCGGCACCTGGGGCCTGCACTGGGGTCCGTGATGCCCGTTTCCCTCCTGCTGTCACCAGGGAAGGGCACCTGGTTGTTCCACAAGGAGACAGAAAGTCAGACCAAGGGTGATCCGCCCACCCTGCCTGCTTGACAATCCCTCTCTCTGAGCGTTCCTTGCCTTGGTAAGGAGCAGCAAAGCAGAGTAGGGCTGGGAAATGGGTTCTACAAAAAAACAAACAAAAAAAACCTTGCAAAATAGAAGATGGGGAACAGCACCTGGTAGACGAAGAGGGAGAAGGTCCTTCTGGAAATGATCTGCTGTAAGATCTGGAAAAGCAGTTGCAAGAAGGTCTCTGGCAAACGCAGCACGAGGTAGAACTGCGGTGCGGGCAGGTCCCGAGGCCCAGGCAAACCTCAGCAATCCGGGAAGGCTGGGGCAGAATGTTCTGGGCTCCGGCTCCATGTTTTGGGCAGCACCACTGCCCCGGGCCTCCCGTGACCCTGCTGAACTATTCGAAGTTTCTCCTGAAGGCCTCGCTCCTGCCCTATCTCTGGGGCTGTCCGTGCACAGCCCCGACCTCACCGTGACACCTGCCCGGCCCAGCTGTGAAGGAACAGGTAGGTACCCCTACTCCGCAGGGGCCAACGGGGCTCCTGGGGCTTCCTTCCCTCTGTCTGCAGCCCACCACTTACGAGACATCACTGCACGACAATCGTTTTGTTTCTTAATTTGTAACCCCTGGCAGAGTCCGTTCTTATTGCTAGCACAGAATGAACCACTTCTATGTTGTGCGACCACCACTTAGTGGCCAATCTGTGTGGGCGAGCAAACACCTGTGGTGTCTCAGGTGTGCTCACGCCGACCCCCGTCTGCCCTACCTGGGACGGAGGCGTAAGCACCTGGCTCAGGTTCTCAGAGGCAGGGCACGGGGCTGGCTTTCCAACCCATGTTCTTTGGACAGCAAGTCCCGCGTTCTTTGCCATGAAGCTACAACCCTTTTTCCCAGAAACCGCAGAGGGGACAGGTGTGTGGAGGCCAATGGGCACAGGGCCAGCCGGTCTCGTCCCCTCATTGGGGTGAAGGTGGCGGTGCGCACAGAGGAGCTGGGGACCTGGAATGAGGACCCTTCCTCCTGCTCCCCAAGCCCTGGCCTCGGTGGGTCCAGGAGGTGGCTGGTCCAGGGAGCACACCGGCGTCTCCGTGGCTGGTTCCGTGGCTCAGCTGGGGCTCTGAGGGGAAGTCTAGGAGCTCCCGGGCCTGGACTCAGGTGCGTAAGAGTCAGGGTCTCGGGAAGCCACTACAGTGTCGTTACTATGGTGACAGTTGTCATCTCCTCATTTCTGTCCCCACAGTGCCGCTACCTGTCCCACTCGCCCCACGAGCAGTCGCTGCATCATACCCACCTCACCTGGAGACCGGTGCCTGCTGCCGGATGCAGAGACAGGCAGGTGCGCGAAGAAGAAAGACGTGTTTGGATGGAGAGAAGGTGAGGGGAGTTATCGATTACTTCAGTGACGGTAATTCTATAAAAAATTATGAGAAAAAGACTAAAAATGGTATTTTGCAACAAGGGAAAGGTCTTCAGTTAAGCCACCAAACATTTTTCCAAAGGACAGAGGACCTTTGTAATAATAGAAAAGGTTGATTACTTCACAGCTTGAGAAATAGCAAGTATTTTTCTTTAGCTTTAGTTGAGTTGTGAAACATCATCCGGTTAATATTTTGTGCATGTTTAATCTCAAAGAACTTCCAAATTTATAAAAAAAAAGGCTAATTCATGACTTAAAACATCAAAATTTTTTTCAGCATATTATGGGAGTACAAATGCTAAGGTTACGTATATTGCCCTTGCCCCCCTCCCCCCTCGGGTCAGAGCTTTGAGCGTGTCCATCCCCCAGATGGTGTACAACACACTCATTATGTTTGTACATACCCATCGCCTCCTCCCCCATCCCATCTGCCCGATGCCCGATAAATGTTATTCCTATGTGTCCACTCAGGTGCTGATCCGTTAATACCAATTTGCTGGTGAGTGCATGTGCTGCTTGTTTTTCCATTCTTGGGATACTTCACTCAGTAGAATGGGCTCCAGCTCTATCCAGGAAAATACAAGAGGTGCTGTATCACCGTTGTTTCTTATAGCTGAATAGTACTCCATGGTATACATATACCACATTTTATTAATCCACTCATGTATCGATGGGCACTTGGGTTGTTTCCACAGCTTTGCGATTGTGAATTGTGCTGCTATAAACATTCGAGTGTAGATGTCTTTTTCACAGAGTGACTTTTGTTCTTTGGGGCAGATGCCCAGTAATAGGATTGTGGGATCAAGTGGTAGATCCACTTGTATCGCTTAAAACATCAAATCTGTGGCATAGTTAGTATAGACCAAGGGAACAGCACAGAGAGCTCAAAAATAAACTCCTGTGGCCACATGACTCTTGACGAGGGCTGCAAGACAACGTCATGGGGAAGGGACGGTGTCTCCAACAAACGGTGCTGGGCAGACTGGACATCCACTTGCAGAAGAGTGAAGCTGGACCCTTACCTCACACCATAGACAAAAGTTAAGACTCAAAAACGGAGCAAAGGCTTATTTTATAAAATTGAAAATTGAACAACTAGATTCTCAAGCTCAAGTCATTCCAAACATGCTTAAAAGTTTTCCAGTCACTGAATTGACTGCCAATAAATCATTTAAAAAATTTTTTTAATTGTGGTAAAATACACAGGACTAAATCTGTAAGAGCTAAACTATAAGATTCTTAGATGAAAACACAGGGGAAAACTTCACGACAAATAGAATTACTTCCATGTGATCCAGCAATGCCACGTCTGGGCATATATGTGCAAAAGATTGTAAGCAAGCTCTCAAAGTAATACCTGTACACCCAGGCTCATCGCAGAATTATTTATAGTAGCCAAAAGGTGGAAGGAAGTCAATGTTCACCAGCGGATAAATGGACAAACTGTGGCGTATGCGCACAGTGACATGTTGTTTTGTCTTAGTAAGGAAGGAAATTCTGACGCATGCTACAACATGGGTGAACACTGAAGACATCATCCTAAGTGCATGAGACAGTCACAGATGTACAAATACTGTGTTGTTCCGCTCACACGAGGTGTCTGGAGTTGTCATACTCTCGGAAATGGGAAGCGGGACGGTGGTTGCCAAGGGCTGGGGGAGGGAAAGAGGAGGGTCGTTTAATGCGTGCGGAGTTTTAGTTTTGCAAGATGAAGCAGTTCTGGAGATTGGTTGCATGATAGTGTGAATATACTCAACCTTACTGAACTATATACTCAAAAATGGTTTAGATGGTAAATTTAGTCCTGTGTATTTTACCACAGTTGAAAATTTTTTAAAACGATTTATTGGCAATCAATTCAGTTACTGGAAAACTTTTAAGCATGTTTGGAATGACTTGAGCTTGAGAATCTAGTTGTTCAATTTTCAATTTTATAAAATATAAATACAGTTCAAGTAATCCTGACAAAAAATTTGTTGTCTGAATTGAGATATTCTATAACCTCCACACTAGATTTCAAAAAGTACAAAAAAGGTATGAGACAGCTCATTAATTATTTTTATATTGATCACATGTTGAGGTGATAATATTATAGATATACCAGGTTAGATAAAATAGATTGTTAAAAATAATTTCAACTGTGTCTTTTTATTTTTATACATGTGGCCATCAAAAAATGTAAAAGTATGTATATGGCTCATGTTACATTTCTGTCAATTCCTAAGAACAATGGGGAGAATTTCGAAAGGCAGGAGGGCAGTGACAGAACTTATAGTCCAGTAAGACTTTCGTGGTGTTCAAAAGGAGAGAGAAGTATTGATTAACTTTAGATTTTTCTTAGTTATGTGGCCATCCTAGAAGTTGAATATATAATTTCAACATTAGCAGAGAGGACACAAGTAGAATAAAGAAAACTCAATGAGCCACATTCAGGATAGAAAAGAAAGAACAATAAAGAAACCCGACACAGCCCCATGGCAGAGAGAAAAGGAAAATCTAAAAGCAAAGAAAAGGCAAAAAATAAAAAATAGTAAAGGATAAATAATCCCCAATATTTCATTAATCACAACAAATGTGGAAGGATTAAATCTATCTGTTAGGTTAGACACACTTCCAGACGGATCAGAAATGAATCAAACGCAGCCACGTGCTGTTTGCAAGAGACCCAAATATTTGCAAGGCAGGGCAGAGGGAGGCTCAGTGTAATTTTATAGACAAATATTAGCCAAGCGAGAGCCAAGAGCTGTATCCCTCTGTTAGCGTTCTTAGCTGTGGGCAAATAGAAGCCTTTCTGGTCATTTATGCAAAAGCATATACAAATGTATGTAAATTTAGAAGCCTTTCTGGTCATTTGTGGAAATGCATATGCAAATGTATGCAGATACATTCATGCAAACATGTATTTACTAGAGGATGTTTGTGGCTCCCGGAATCTGCTGCAGGCTGGGGACACTGAGTGGCTCCCAGTCACGTGGGGACACCGCCGGAAGTCCAGCGCGGTTTCAGCCATTAAGGCTGTGAACCAGATGCCAGAAAGTCTTCCACGGTTCCACGGTCATGCTTTCCGGAAAAACAAATGTCTGGCCCGACCATTCTCACATGTCTCCCACGTCCTGAGTGGAGTCTCGTGGGCCCGTGGGGTTGCCCGGGTGGTGAGAGAGGCCGGGTGGGTCGGTGCAGAGAACTCAGGATGCCACCTGGTGAGACAGAACTCGGAGAGCCCATAACTCCCCAGATGGCGGATGGCCGAGCAAGCCTTTCGGAAGATACAGAAAATCTGATAACGATGCATAATCTATTAAAATGTGATATGAAAATCCTCACTGAATAATGGTAAGAATTATATATTTATAATTTATGCATAGGAATTAATGCAAGATATATGAGAGACTTTTATGAAGGAAATTAAAAATTTTTATTGAAGGATGTCATGGAAGACTCAATCAGATTTATCTTTTTGCATGAATGAGAAATCTCAATATTTTAAAATGTCAGTTGTCCTTCAGGTCACTTACAAATTTATTGAAAAGTTCAGTAAAGCTCCAACAAGCTTTTTCATTGCACCAAGAAGCTGATTTGAAAATAGATGAAGAGGTTCAGAACAGCCAAGAAGAATTTTTTAAAAGATTTGGAAGAAGTGTCTTGTCCTTTCAGATATCAAAAGTGTTTCTAAAGATACAACAATTGAAATAATTTGGCATTGTCTCCAGGGATGCAGAAAGACAAAGAGAAAGATCACAAGCCCACTTAGACAATGACAGAACTGCCATTCACATCAGAAGAGAGAGGATCGTCTACTCAATTAACAGCACCAGAACAATTGTTCCTCCATCCACATGGGGAAGCCAGGTCCCACACCGTGCTGTAAACTCTCCAGGGGGACTAGGGTGCAAAAGGAACAGCTAAATTTAAAAACCTTCAGAAGAAAATAGAGTGTGGGATACAAGTTAACTGCCTTTTTGGCCCCTGTACCTTGGCCTTTGTATATTGCTTGTTTGCTTGCCACTTAGCCTGACTGAAGCCATGATAGGCTTCTGCAGAGTAAAGAAAAAAAAAAAAAACAAGCCCCCAGGGGAGAAACTGCAAGGCACTAACTGATAAGGCACTAAAAAGTCCCTAAAACCTAGCCAACCAATCAAGATACACGGCCAGCATGATCAGTGTATGAACAGCTTGAGTGAGACGTGTGGGTGCTAGGTGGGCTCCAGATACCACTTGTAACCAGTAACCTGAGTTGCACAACAACTAAAAATATAAGACCTGTGCTAAAACCTTGCCAAGGGTCCTTGTCTAAGGAGACCACCGAGCTGGTGCTCTGGGACTTGGACCCTAGCTCGAGCTAGCCCCAATAAACTCCCTGCTGCAACCTAAATTATTGCGTGACCGGCTCTCTGTTCTGGTGTATTGGGATCCGGACATAACAAGAGGAGAATATTTTTATTGCATCCGGGCAGGCAAAGATTTCTTCAACAATACGCAAAAGCACAAACCGTAAAGGAAAAGAGTGATGAATAATACATCAAAGATAGAAACTTCGTATGACAAAGTCACTGTACACAAAGCGAAAGCAGGAGTCGTAGCCTGGGAAAATGTTTACGGTGCATGAACCTAACAAAAGGTCAATATCTGGACTGTGAAGGGAATCAACCTGCACAAACCCATTTGGAAAAGATAAAGGCCCCAGCGTAAAAGCTGGCAGAGCCGTGGGCAGGAAACCCGCAGAAGACTCCCTAAGGCCGATGCGTGAAGAGATCGTGAGTGATCCCACCAGTGATCAGGGAGCCGAGAAATCTAACACTGAGAGACCCATTCTACAAGTTTTTGCCATTAGACTTGAGGACTGAACTCTGATCTTTTTCTTTTGCTAAAAACTCCTTCCTAAGGAGGCCAGCTGGGTCAGGCTGACAAATGGTAAATTCCCACTAAGCGGCTTTTGTTAACCAAATAAAGCGGTGGTTTACTTCCCAACCTGATTCTGGTATGGCATTAACATCACCTAAAAGATAGGAAGCCCCTGTCTTAACTCAAGCATCCTAGCAGATGCCCATCATAAATTTAAAATATCTTAACTCAAGCATCCTAGCAGATGCCTCTTCGTAAATTTCAAGCATCTTAAAGCACCCTAGCAGGCGCCTATCATAAATTTAAAACGTCCTCCTGTCTGGACCTCCCAGAGTGCTTACACCCTTATCTTAAAATAAGCATATCCTTTCTGGTCTTCTAGATGAAGTCTAACTCTCAGCCAATTGCCAGCCAAAGAATCTTTAAACCCACCTATAAGCTATAAGCCCCCGCTTCGAGATGTCCCAGCTTTTTGGGCCAAACCAATGTATGCCTCTCATGTATTGATTTGTGACTTTGCCTGTAACCCCTGTCTCTCTGAAAAATGTATAAAACTGAACTGTGACCCAGCCACGGCGAGCCCACTTGCTCAAGGCCTCTTGGGAGTGGCTCCGGGTCATGGTCCTCAAATTTGGCTCAGAGTAAACTTCTTTCAAATATTTCAGGGCTTGGATTTTTTCTGTCCGCAGACTATTAAAGTTTTAGGAGACTGATAATGGGGGAAAGTATAGCATCTAGAACTTTTCCCATCCCGTCGCCATGACTCTAAATTGTTTTGGCCCCGGAGCAAACTGACGATGTCACTCTGGTCCCCATGGAGCCACCGGGACTGAGTTGACCTCCCACCTGAAACGACGAACCAAAGAGACAAAACCTTGCAGGAAACCACGGGAGACGCAGGACGTGGGGCCGGGCAGGGCTGTGATCAGGGACAGGAAGCAAACAAGGCCCCATTCACCACTCTTCCCTGGTGAATTCTTTGGGTTTGTCCTTTGCTCAATTTACTTGCTATTTAGGGTGTTTGCTTTCTCTCGGTAGTAATTTTTTTGGGGGGGGGGTTGTTTTAGTAAGAACATTTTCTGGCATAGTTTCCATAAATTTTCATTTGTTTTTAAATGGGCAATATGCACAAACGTTAGAACATTCCGAAGGTCCCCAGTGACCGGAAAGGGTCCTGCATCCCTGTCCCTGCCACCTGCTGTCCCTCCCCAGTGGCCACCGTGGGAGATATGGAGGGTTTGTTTCCCGACCTCTGCAACACATAAAGCGAGTCCCACATGTCAACGGAAAAAAGCCAAACTCTGTAAAATAATTTTAAAGAGATTTATTCTGAGCCAAATTTGAGGACCATGACCCGGAGCCACTGCCAAGAGGCCTTGGGCAAGTGGGCTCACTGTGGCTGGGTCACAGTTTGGTTTTTATACATTTTAGAGACAGGGGTTACAGGTAAAGCCACCAATCAATGTGTGGGAGGCATACATTGGTTTGGGCCAAAAAGGAGGGCCATCTCGAAGCAAGGTGGGGGGCTTACAGGTTATCGGTGGGTTTAAAGATTCTTCCGATTGTAATTGGCTAAAGACATGAAGCTTTGTCTAAAGACTTGGAATGTTTCAACATAAACTGTCTACCAGAGATAAGCCACCATTTGTTGCATAAATTGAGGGCCTGCAGGTGTGTCTTGCAAACCCTTGGGCCTGTTAATGGGTTGCAAAGGAAGTCTCCAAGACGAGAGGGGGGCATGATAAGGCCTGTCTGACCTCCCTCCTCCTGGCAGGCAGTTTTTGCTTTAGGGTGTTCCTTTGGCCTCGAGGGGGTCCATTCAATCAGCAGGTGGTGGGGGGGGGTGGTGAGCATTTTAGTTCACAAACCATAAAGGTTTTGTCATGAGAGTGCAGCAATTCAATCACATCTCCAGGCTCCACTTCTAATTCCAGCTCTCCTGCTGTTTCCACCACGGCTGCGGTGACTTCCTCCGCTGAGCCTCAAGCCCCTCAAAGTCACCCACGAGGGCTGGAATCCACTTACCCCAGACTCCCGTCAGTGTTGATAACGTGACCTCCCGCGAATCATGAATGTTCTTAATGGCATCTAGAATGACAAAGTCTTTTCCAGAGGTTTTCAGTTGACCTCGCCCAGATCCATCGAAGGGATCTCTATCTGTGGCAGCTGTACCCTTACAAAATGTAAATTTCTTGAATAATAAGACTCGAATGCCAAAATTACTTCTTGCCCCGTGGGCTGCAGAAGGCACGAAAATGACATTAATCTCCTTGTACATCTCCATCGGAGCTCTTGGGCGAGCAGGTGCATTGTTAATGCCCAGTGGTCTTTTGAAAGGAATCTTTTTTTTTTTTTTTTTTTCTGAGCAGCAGCTCTCAACGGCAAGCTTAAAATATTCAGTGCTATAGAGAGAGCTTTGTTGTCACCTTCGTTTTTCCGTTCATAGAGCACAGGTAGAGTAGATTTAGCATAATTCCTAAGGGCCCTCGGATTTGGGAATGGTAAATGAGCACTGGCTTCAACTCCGAGTCCCTGGCTGCGACAGCCCCTGACAACAGAGTCAGCCTGTGCTTGGACACTCGGAAGCCAGGCGTTGGCTTCTCTCTGCCTGCTAAAGCTCTAGGTGGCATCTTCTCCTGATAGAAAGAAGGCTGTTCTCATCTGCATTGGAAGCCCGTCGTTGAGTGTAGCCACCTCCGCCGGTGATCTCAGCCAGATCTCCGGATGACTTGCTGCAGCTCCTGCACCAGGACTTGCTGCTGCCCCACTGCACTTCCCTGTTCTGGCGACCGCCTTCCTTAAACCTCCGGAACCCGCCTCTGCCGGCTCCAGCTTTCCTTCTGCAGCCTCCTCGCCTGTCTCACTCAGCCTTCGCAGAATTGGAGAGAGACGGGGCCGCCCTGGGTCAGGCTGCGGCTCAGGGCAGCGTTATGACCGGCTTGGTCTCTTATCCAGACCATGCAGCCTTTCCCCATATCGGCGGAAAGGCTGTTCTGCGTTCATATCACGCCCGTGTTCCCTGGAAAAGCGCTTTAAATTTCCTCCGAGAAATTTCCTTTGCAACTTGGCCAACTGGCACGAAAGTCCTGTCTCAGCTTTTGCTGTGCCCTCCTTGCTACGATCAGTCGTTTCTAGGTTTCGGTTCAGGGTGAAAGACCGGGAACCCTTTCTTTCACTTGGGCACTCAGAGGTCACTGTGGGGTTATCACTTGGCCTAATTTTAATAGTGTCGCGTCTCAGTGAATAGGAAGTTCTGAGCAGAGAGAGCAGGTGTTTTAGCCAGGGAGTGGCGCAGTCAGAACACGCAACACTTATTGATTAACTTTGCCTTCTTACACAGGCATGGCTCGTGTAGCCCCAAAACAATTGCAATCGTTACATCAAAAAGATTGCATGGATGCGGAGAGAGAGGAACACTCCTACACTGCTGGTGGGACTGCAAAGTAGCTCAACCTCTGTGGAAAGCAATATGGAGATACCTTAAAGCGATACAAGTGGATCTACCATTTGATCCAGCAATCCCATTACTGGGCATCTACCCAAAAGATCCAATGACACTCTACAAAAAGGACATCTGCACTCGAATGTTTATAGCTGCACAGTTCATAATTGCAAGGCTGTGGAAACAGCCCAAGTGCCCATCAATCCAAGAATGGATTAATAAAATGTGGTATATGTATACCATGGAGTACTATTCAGCTCTAAGAAACAATGGTGATATAGCACATCTTATATTTTCCTGGTTAGAGCTGGGACCCATACTACTAAGTGAAGTATCCCAAGAATGGAAAAACAAGCACCACATATACTCACCAGCAAACTGGTATTAACTGATCAGCACCTAAGTGGTCACATAGGTGCTACAGTAATAGGGTATTGGGCAGGTGGGAGGGGGAAGGGGGGCGGGTATATACATACATAATGAGTGAGACGTGCACCATCTGGGGGATGGTCATGCTGGAAACTCAGACTTGTGGGGGGAGGGGGGAAAGGGCATTTTTTGAAACCTTAAAATTTATACCCTCATAATATGCTGAAATAAAAAAAAAGATTGCTGATTACAAATCACCATAACAGATATAATAATGGTAAAAATGTTTGAAATATTGTAAGAGTTACTAAGATGCAACCCAGAGACACAGAGTGATCATTTCGTATCCATTCTCGGAGAACTACTTCATCACTCATAACAACTGCATGCTTTTCCATCCTGTGGTTGGACCATAATTTATTTATTCAGTCCCATATTGATGAACATTTAGATTATATCTAATACGTTTCTATCACAACACTGATGCAATGAAAATATTTGCAATACATAAGTTTATATGTAGAATAAATAACCCAGATGTGGAATAATTAAGCTAAAGTTTGATGGATATGGTCAAATTAACCTCTATAGGGGTGGCACCAATTTCTCTCTCCTAAGAGTGCCTGTTTCTCCACAGTTTTTCCAGTGCAGAATTTTTTTAATATTTTGATATTTATCGATCTGATGCAAATCTCAGCATAGTTCTATCACACTGTTCTTGCTGTGAATGAGGGTGACACGTTTTCATGTGCAGAAAAGCCATTTCTTTCTGAAACACGTCTTCCCATACTTTGTCCATTTTCCTACTAAAGCGTTCTTATTGGTTTGTATAGCTCTTTACATATGTTGGTGAATTATCCTATTTGTGATATAAATTGAAAGTATTTCTTCATAGCCTCTTGTCTGTCTTTTTTAATAGTCTTTTCGTCATTCAGAAAACTTTTTCTTAATTTTTTTTTCTACTTCAGCGTATTACAGGGGTACAGATGGTTAGGTTACACTTGTTGCCTTCGCCCCACCTGAGTCAGAGCCTCAGGTGTGCCCACCCCCCAGACGGTGCACACCGCACCCATTAGGTGTGAGTATGCCCCTCCTCCACAGAACTTTTTGCATCTAAGTAATTACATTGATCCATATTTTCCTTTGGTGAATTTTGGGTTTTGTGTTATAGTTGAAAGTCATCTCCTTCTCTCAGAAATTATACCATCAGCCGATTATACCAACAACGCTATTTTTTTGGTGTTTAATGATTTTATTTTTTACATATTTATATATCTTTGCTCTGTTTTGAATTTGTTTGGTGTAAAGTGGTAAAATTATTACTGCAGTTTTATTCTCCTTCCAGATGACTGGCAGTTGTTCCAACTGTTTGATAAGTGATCCTTCTTTTCTCCGCTTGTTTATATACCGCTTTTATCATATGCTGAATGTTTGAATGAATGTGTGTCCATTTCTGTACGCTATGCTCAGTTCCATCGGTTTTTCTGTGGATTCATATCTCAGAGCCATGTATTTTTATTTACTGCAGCTTGACAATATCTTTTAATATCTGGCAAAGCTTATCTCTTCTCATTACAATTCCAGATTCTTCTGGCTATATTTGCGTGCTCATTTTTTCCAAATGAAACTTAGAATCACTTTGAACAATTGCAATGTATTTATATTTTTGGAAATTCAGAATAGTATTATATTAATGATCTTCTCAGAGAGAAGTGAGGGTTTCATGACATCGAATTGTCCTAGTCAGGACTGTATTCAGTCTTCTCATTTATCCAAGTTGTCTTTTGTGTCTCTCAGCAACACTTTAAAATCTTCTTTACATAGAAGTTTAAAGTTTACTCTTTGGTTTTATCTTTCTGTATTTTTTTTATTTTTTTTTATTTATTTTTTTTTTGAGACAGAGTCTCACTTTGTTGCCCAGGCTAGAGTGAGTGCCATGGCGTCAGCCTCGCTCACAGCAACCTCAAACTCCTGGGCTCAAGCGATCCTCCTGCCTCAGCCTCCCAAGTAGCTGGGACTACAGGCATGCACCACCATGCCCGGCTAATTTTTTCTATATATATTAGTTGGCCAATTAATTTCTTTCTGTTTATAGTAGAGACGGGGTCTCGCACTTGCTCAGGCTGGTTTCGAACTCCTGACCTTGAGCAATCCGCCTGCCTCGGCCTCCCAGAGTGCTGGGATTATAGACGTGAGCCACCGCGCCCGGCCCTTTCTGTATTTTAAATGAGGAGTTTTTCCTACTACATTTTTTACAAGCAGTTGTTTATTATGGTTATTCTGATATGCAAAAAATTTAAAGTTGTTATAAAGTAAAATCTAACAATTGTTTTCTTCATGGTATACATCCATGAGCCATGTTTAGAAAATTCTTCCCCACCTTAGAATTATACAAATGTTATACAAATACAGGATTCTTTTCTAAGTTTTGAGAAATAATTTAAGTTTAAATACTTTGATCACCTGTTATTTATTTTAATACCCTATATAAACTATTAAAAGCATCTAATTTATTTTTTCTCCCAAATAGCTACTAGTTGTTCAAGTCCCATTGGCTGAATAATTTACCTTTTCCTTACTGATTTGAAGTTCATTATTATATACATATAGAAACATGTATTTGTTTCTGAAGTTTTTATTCTTTTCTGTTGCTAAATTGATTTGTGTTTTGCATAGTGTTATTTACTGAAGCTATAAATTATCCCAAGATCTGGCATTGTAAATTCTTCCTGTTTATTTTTTTATAGGGAGGTCATTCTCACTTATTAATTTTTATTGACACACATTTTAGAATTATTTTGTAAAATTCCAGAAAAGGTTTTAGAGTCTAAAAATGCATTAACTGTAAATTGGGGAAATCACCATCCTTTAAGTGTTGTATCTTAACACCCAGGAAATGGAATCTTTCTCCTTTTCTTCCTGATTGCTTTTATGTCCTGGAGGTAAATTTCCTTGTGTTATCCCCCAGTCCTGAAACCTACTCTTTACAGTCACGATTAACAATGGCTGGCATTTACGTGAGCCTGCTCTGGGCCAGTCCCCGAAGCTACTTCACTGCCTCGTTCTTCGCAGCAAGCCTTGGAGGAAGGCCCGGTGACTGTCCCTGTTTTACTGCAGCTGTGGACTTCAGCGACTTGTCCAGGGTCCCATGATATAAGGACAGAGGAAAGGTGGGATTGCAGAGCTGGGATGTCTAAACTTGCTCTCGTGTTCTGCTGAGATGAAGAAGGTCCTATCTTGGCCCCACTTGGCACTTGGTCCAGGGCAGAAAGGACACTTCGTTTCTCTTTGTTTGTTTCCTAAGTGTTTACTGTGATGGTTATTGTTTCTATTTCCTTTCAGATCAGTTTTGATAATTGATGTTTTCGTTAACCAACGGCCTCAAATTACGGTCTGGAGAGCCCCAGGACTCTGTAGACAGGGCACAGGGGCTGCCGCGGGGCAGAGGATGTCGTGGGGTGCAGTAGCAAGGGCTGGTCTTCCTGGGAGCTACAGCCTGAAGATATTTTTAAAATAGATTCTCAAGGCCGGGCGCGGTGGCTCAGGTCTGTAATCCTAGCACTCTGGGAGGCCGAGGCGGGAGGATCGCTCAAGGTCAGGAGTTTGAGACCAGCCTGAGCAAGAGCGAGACCCCGTCTCTACTATAAATAGAAAGAAATTAATTGGACAACTAAAAATATATAGAAAAAATTAGCCGGGCATGGTGGTGCATGCCTGTAGTCCCAGCTACTTGGGAGGCTGAGGCAGGAGGATTGCTTCAGCCCAGGGGTTTGAAGTTCCTGTGAGCTAGGCAGATACCATTGCACTCTAGCCCGGGCAACAGAGTGAGACTCTGTCTCAAAAAAAAAAAGAAAAAAAAAATTAGATTCTCAAATCTATTAGGATAGAGTTGAAAATGTTATTCTTTATTTTTTTTCCCTATAGCTAGGGAATAGGGAAATAGCTAGATATCTAGATAGCTAGATAAATAGCTAGATATCTATAGCTAGATATCTGTTCTTACCTATAATTTAGAATAGTCATTTGCTTTTCCTCATTAGTTTGCATGGTTTATGGGTTTAATGAAAAAAGCAGACTCTCTGAGTGAACATATCAATTCTACATGTTTTTACTAATTATTAATTTTTGTTCATTATTATTGTTATATAATCATTATTATATAATCATTATCATTTTCTCTTTTCATTCTTTTTTACTCCATGATATATGGAGTTAAAGACTTAATTTATATTCATTCTTATTTAGTAATAAATACATTTAATGCAATAACATTGTTTTAGGTTACTGCTGGGGTATTGATTGATATACAGCATTCTCACTTTCATTTTTGTAAGCATTTTATAATTGCTGTTTTGATATTTTCTTTTACCCTAGAATTATTCAGGATACTGCTTTTTCAAATTTTCAGCTAGATTGGATTTTAAGAGTAAATATTTTATTAGGCTTGGTGAAAATGAGTCAATGTAGTTTCTACTGCGGGGAGATTTTTAATTAAAGTTTCCTTTGGAGCCCAATACAGGCCATATCTCAGGCATCAAAAAAAAAAAAAAAAGTATAAGTTTCATAGATCCCAGATTGTAAAGTGAATGTGTTAGATACACCTTACTCATTTTACTATTTAGGCCCTTT